GTACTAAAGGGCACATTTAAGGAAAGGAGTTGATGAGAGACAAGGGAAGGAACAAGTATGAATGACGTGGGTGAGAGCAGGAATAACCACCAAAGAGTGGCTTGAAAGTTGCCTCATGAACTCCCATATGAAACAAAAATATCTTAATATTGGTACACATTTTAAACTCATATTCAAAACTCATTTATCTTTTCCCCAAAACCTTCTCCTCTTCCAAACTTTCCCGTTACTGTCAAGAGCGCCACCATCCTCCCGGTCAGCCCCACTTGCAACCTAGGGGTCACCCCCAACTCTCTCTCTCTTTGAATGCCCAATCTGTTGCCAAGTCTTGTTGATTCGGCCTTGAAAAATGTAAATGTACTCCATAGTCTCCTTCAACACTGCCCCAACCCTGGTGCTGACCCTCACCACCTCAAGCCTGAACTATTACAATAGCCTGCTGGTCTCCCTGCAGTCCAGTCCAACCTCCACTAAGCTATCAAAGTGATCATGCTAAAGTGTAGGTCTGACCCCTTCATCACCCACCCCAACTCAAACTCCAGTGGCTCCTTACTGCACCAGGATCAAATATAAAATCCTCTGTTTGCCTTTTAAAGCCCTTCATAACCGGGCTCCTTCCAGTCTTCTTACACCTTACTCACTTGCACATAATCTACAATACAGAGACAATGGTCTTCGTGCAGTTCTTCAAACAAGATGCTCCATCTTCTGACTCCAGGTATTTTCACTGGAACTTGCTCCCAACCTCACCTCTTGCCTTCGTTCAAGGCTCAACTATAACCCTACCTTCTGCAAGGAGCCTTCCTTCATGTTGGTGACATCCTACTGAGATTATCTCCAATTTATTGGTATTTATTTTATTTATACATAACTGTTTGCATGTCGTTTCCTTCATAAGATTGTGAGCTTCTCGATGGCAGAGATTGCTTTATCTTTCTTTGGATTCTCGGTGCTTAGCACAATGCCTGGCATATAGTAAGTGTTTAATAAATACTTGTTCCTTGTTGACCTGAATGACCTTGGTTTCTTTGACCTTCAAACCATGGTTCACTCACATCTAACTGTACTTTTTGTGATTCTTTCCCTCATTTTTTTTCTCTTTCTATTACTCTTCATAGGTAGCCTCCCCCCCTCCCAACTGCAAGCTCTGTGGGTCTAGAGCCTTACGAAATATCAAAGCAAGGGTGAAATGAGGATTAATAAAAACAAGATAGTTTTTCCTGATTCTATCTCCAGTACAGAGCTTGGCACACAGAAGTGTGTGAATTTTTTTTCATTCATTCATAGGTCACAAAATTAATAAGTTTCAATGTTAAAATCTAAACTCAGATCCTTTGTCTCCAGATCCAATATTCTTTTCACTACTCCAAACATTTAGTAAATGAAAAAAGAGACCTTAGAGATCAAGTGACTTGTCCAAGACTATGTGCAAATAAAAGGGATGACCTCCTTTCTCCCTCCTGACAAACCCTATTTTTCCCTTCTTTTCAATCAAAGCTCACCTGCCAACTTTCTCCAGGCAGCTCTAGCTACCCTCCAGTCTGACAACAACCCAATTCACCATCCTTAATGCAGTTTTACAATGTAAATTTTTTCATTATTCCCCAATATGAAACTCCTTCTTTTGATGCAAAAGAAGAATGTCTATAACATCTATTAGAGAGTTGTCTGTGGCAATGAGTTTACAGGACTTGCCTAGTCACACACAACTAATGTGCATCGAAGGCAGGACTAGGGGCAGCTAGGTGGCACAGTGGATAGAGCTCTGGCCTTGGAGTCAGGAGGACCTGACTCTGTCTGAGTCTCAGACACACAACACATGACACTTACTAGCTGTGTGACCCTGGGCAAGTCACTCAACCCCAATTGCCTCACCAAAAAAAAAAAGGCATTAAAAGGCAGGACCTAAATTCAGGTCTCCCTGACTACAAAGGCCAACCCCCATCCATCAGACTATATTTGATCTCACTGACAGAAGAAGCTAAATAATAAGAATGTAATAAATTAAGCATCATCTTCTACATGACCATGGGTAAATAGCCTAACTTCTCTGGGCTTTCAGATTCTTCATCTGTGAAGTAAGCTTAGACTAGAGAACCTGTGAGGAACCCCGACTCTGTAAATCTATGACTCTGTGATCAATGTTACAATAGGAAAGGGAATAATCAGGCTAATTAGAATAATCTCAATACACAGGGCAATCATGCTTGGAACAGTTGACACCCAATAAATGGCTCTAGTGATAAAAAAAGGGGGGTACACAAAGACTAGGACTGAGGCAGAGACTGAAATTCACAAAAGCATAACACAAGATGGAGAATGGCTGTCATATGGCTGAATAGGGTTGGGGGAATGTGGAAACAACCTATTGAGGAAGACATTTCACTGTTATAGGACAAGTAAGGTCTTTCACATTTTAAAAGGGATTATTACCTAGTCACAAACTCTCCCCTCTTCTGACTAAATCTATACTCAAAATTGTTTTGAGGCTTCAGTAAGATAATATTTGTAAAATGCTTAGCACAATGCCTTGCACATAGTAGGTGCTTAATAAATGCTCGTTCCCTTCCCTTGTTCCCCATCATTCTCTCCCTTTCTCTTAAAAGTCATAGCTTCTTGTAACAAGAAAAAAAAATATTCTCTGGTAGCCAAAGGATTGAAAAAGAAAACATCTGTTTCAAGAAAAAAAAAATCTAATAAGAGATTTGTAAAAAATGTATTTTTCGCTAAAAAAAAAAATCCCCAAATGGTATGCAAGTTCGCTTACGTCTACTCATTGCAAGACACACATTACTGTACACGCCGTTTAGGTAGCCCAGGAGAAACAGGTACTTTATCTCTACAGACAAAAACTTTTAAGTAGAGAATATAAAAGCCCCCTTTGGAGAAGTATTTCCTTTTCATTTTTAATTGAACAAACACATACAAAGGAGAAGATGAAAATCTGTCCATTTACAATCTGTCCAGGTGTGAACCACAACAACAATGAAGACTGCACAGTGAGTAGTATTTGAGAACTGTTTTAAAATTTTACAGAAATCTGGAAAGACCAGGGAACAGAAAGAAAGTTATCAGGTCCTCTCCAATGCAGCCAGAAATGAGTGACAATTCTTCAGCCTGTATTGCTGTTTAAAGAGTCAGAAAGAAAAGGCTTTCTGAAATTTGGCCTTTTCTTATGAATGGGCACATACCCAAATCACAAAGCAACTTGTATGTCCATTATCCAGCATTCTAATTTCACAGGTGGCAGTCTTGGCTTTATGACAAAGGCTTGGTTTCACAGAAAACATGACTGTCTGTCTGTCCCCTGTGATGTTGTCCAAATCTAGAGGAACAAGGATGGACAATACAGGAGAGAGTCAAACATTCCACTTAGAGACCTTGCAAAGTCTCTGGACAAATAGGACTTCAACCTCTAACGAAGCAGGCCCTTCCAAAACAGTCAATTTCACAATGGCCAAATGTTTGGATTCTCTCAGTTTGCTTAACACAGTGGACAAAGTACAAGTAGAGAATCCATAAAAAGAACCTTCAGGTACACCCACAAATGGTGGGAGACGCTGTCTTTTCTTAAGAGTACAGTGAGGAACACAAAAGCATATTACATACTGGTAGCTAAAAACTATGGTAACCCAAACTAATCTTTCAACACTACTTATTTGGTTTCCCTTCATATTCTGGTCCAATGACTCGCCATTCGCCAGCCCCATTCTGCCCTCTTTTGCCTCTACACATGTGCACACACCAGGTCCTACGCCTGAGAAAGGGTCTCAGGGCAGCTAGGTGGCACAGTGGATAGAGCACCGGCACTGGAGTCAGGAGGACCTGCGTACAAATCTGGCCTCAGACACATAACACTTACTAGCTGTGTGAACCTGGGCAAGTCACATTGCCGAGCCAAAAAAAATAAAAAAAAAAACAAAAAACTCCCATTATCACTACCTTTTGAAATCCTTTTCTTCTATCATGGTTTTACATCATTATCACTTCCTCCAAAGTTATCCCAGAAAGCCCAAGCTAGATATGATGTTTGTCCCTTCATACCTCTTACAGCATTCTGTCTGACCTCTTATTATGCATTTAGCACATATGCAAACCAGGATAAAAAAATTCTAGTCCTGTACTAGACTCTCTCTCTCTTTTTATACATACATATATATACATACATATATATGTGCATATATGCATATATGTATATGTATATGTGTGTGTGTGTGTGTGTATATATATATATATAGCAAAGATAATAAATTTTATATTTGTGTACCCATCGCCTTACACACAACAGGCACTTAACACCATTTTAAAAACTGAATCGCAAACAGGCCTTAGTTTTGAAATGGCTTCCAAGTTTTACTAAGGAAAAAGATGAAAGGGAAGAAGAAAGGTCCATATTGTATCACCAAATAAATGACCAGCTAAGAGCAGGAAAAAAGCAACCTCAAATACCTCAATGGGCCTGTGAGCCCACTGAGATGGATATTCTCCCTAACATCACATAACTCAGCCATGCCTGCCCTTCTCGGGTGGGTCTGGTATACGTCCTCCATAAGCTCAGCACTCCAAGGTCGCCCAGTGGGCGTCCTCAATCCCTCCTGATGTCACAAGGATACCAATGGAGCACATAGGCAATCCAGTGATGAGACTCACCACATGATCAGCCCATCTCCATGTCTGATGCAACATTTCTTTGATGACATCCTTACCTGGATTATCTGTAGCTCCTCATTTGTTATATGTTGCCTGGTGAGCCCCACCACATGTGTCTCCAGTACTCACTGAGCTAAATTCAGTTGGAGGTCTCTGGAGAATATAGTACCCCATGACTCTCAGACTTACAGTGAAGGACACTTGACTATTTATTTCTTCTACTCTGATGCATTTGAAATCAACATGCCCTGTCCTTTTCAAAAGCAGGGTGAATTCTCAATGCGTATCAGATCTTTTAAATACTCATATCCTTTAATGAATAAAAGGATTCAGGCAGACAGTCATGTTACCTCGTGTTTCAACTGCACGGATGCATTTTCTGAGAATTGTGAATCCAATCTTATCCAGTTGTGCACCTAAAAGGAAAATGTTAAGCACATCATGAATTATACACGTTTTTCTTCCTTACAAAGCTGGAAAAATAACATCTGGGCTCATTTTGATGTAACCATTTCTTTTTTAAAGGCCACATGTTGAGCTACAGCAGTGATCTACACTGATGATCTTAGTATATTCACTGGAGCACACATTCAGAATAACAGTATATTTACTGTTAACAACAACTTAAAATGCTAAAGAAGGTTGTTAACTGAGCATCCATCTTCTTCAGCAATGAAAAAACAAACAGATTAAAAACTCTTCAAGAAAAACTTCATCCCCAAATGGCCGAGTATATTTTGTACAAAATTCCAAAAAGAGCCCTGGAGAAAATTAAAAGAAGAAAATGAGCATGTTAAATGGCCCTTAAAAAAAAAAAAGCCATGTCCTCAATGTGAGTCAGGGGCAAATGTCATTCACATTTTTTTCTCAATTTTGCAAATCATAAAGTTGGCTCAGAAAAGCAAGGTCTCTGAATTTTTTTAAATAAAAACTCATGTTTTGGAAGCCATGTTTCATATCACTCTTCTAAATGTTTTTAATCATTTTTAATACTATTTTCAAAATAACTAAAATCTAAAAATCATTTGGTAGGCAGGCTATAATAATCTAAATATGCCAAGTATATCTAGGTATATAGATAATCTAGAATATGCCAAGCAATTTCCTTTTCTTCAACACAAACATTTGTCTTTACAAAGGAGAGTACATTTTGTGTCCCAACTGAAATCAATCCTGAGGATTCTGAGCAAATCAGCACAGGTGGGTATGAACAACCACTCCCCATCCATTAAATAGATAACAAGACAGTAACACAATAAGGGGTCAGCATTTCATCTCAGTGCTTGAAAACTCAAAGCCTGGCACATGCGTCAGGATCCATGTGGGTTTCTCCACCATGCAGGCCCTGGCCCAGGTTTTAATGGGGGCAGCAGGGATAATTAGCCCGCCCATGGTCTACCTATCATTTCAGAATGCCAAAATATATAAATTGGTCATGAACCATTACTATCCTATCCACACGAGAAGGCTCTCTTCTTCAAAATGAATGTTAGAAATGTTCATGTCACAGAGACTCATAGGTTCGTAACTGGCAAACACTGTGTCTTATTCATCTTTGGATGTGGCCCCATCCCCTCAAACCAATACCTAGAAAATACAGAATACAGAGTTGTTGAATGAATTAATGATACAACCATCAAAGGAACCCACTGTGAATTGAAGCAATTTGATGTTGCTCAATCTCTTTCAGGATAGAAAGCTCCTCTGGACACATAACTTTGTTGATTATGGAGGAAATGTGGAATCACCTTAAATGCCTTCCAATCTTACAAAGACCATATTTACAATGAAATCTGCAAACAGTTCCTAGTAGCTAAATCAAGAATACAGTCAGTCAATATCATTCACATTTCTCTCTCAGTTGAGTGCACTATACATGATGAGACATCCCATTTCAGACCACACAGTTTTTAGCATAATAGTCATTTTTAATTTGCTGGTTTGTCGGTATTATTTTAATTGAAAGACTTGTACTCCCTCAGCCAAAAGACATCTGAACACCTCCTCTGTGCTTAGACTCTGTGCTTGGAGTGGAAAAAGACACAAAAAAAGTCTTACTCACGGACCTCAGCGGTCTGGGAGTCGATACTCCCTTTGAGAAGACGGCATTTAAGAAAGATATACTACCGACTGTTGAAGAATAATGAAAAATAGGATATAATGAAATGTCAACCATTGTGTGGTTGGTGCGGACAACAAGTACTATCTCAGAGGCAAAAGAGGTCCAAGTGGGAGGCAGTAGCCAGTAAGAATCTGAGTCAAGCCCTTAACAAATTGGGTAGAAACTAGATAAGTAAAGAGGAAGGGAGGACAGCATGAGCCACATTTTAGAGAGAACAATGAGCCCTGTGTATTCAGACAATGGAGAGCAAACAAGACTTAGTACTTACCTCCTTCCCGTCTTAAGTTGGCTCTATTCAAACTGGGAAGCAGCTATATATATATATATATATATATATATATTAAAAAAAAAAAGAAAAAGACAAAGAAACAGGAGAAAATACTTCAGTCATGGCTCCATATTGCGCAAACACAAAGATTTCTATCGGTAAGAATGGTTATAGATGAGGCAGCATAAGGTCAACAGAAACAAAAACATGGACAAAAAAGGGAAATTGCTTTAGTCAATCTAGAGCTCATTAACAGCATAAGGCTCTATGGAAGGCTGCTTTCTAACCCCCACTCTGATCTCCACAGAAAGCGAGCACCAATAAGACCTGATAGGAAAGTGGGTAGGGTGGGATTTTATAATGAATTTTATAGACCAAGTCAAAGGTTTTGCAAATCTGAAATGTTCAGTTCAGTACTTATAACATCATGCAATGAGCCTTTAACTCCCAACTCTTGGGCCTCCTTTGAGGCTCAGCTCAAAGCCTGCAAAGGGCCTAGTGCCTTCCCCTCTGAGATCACCTTCCTACTTCCCACCACCACTAGTGCCTTCCCCTCTAAGATAACATGCATAGGCCTTGTATGTAAATAGTAATTTTAAATTATTTTCTTTCATTTTATAAGCATTTATATTCTCTACCTCCCATCCTTATCCCCACCATTACCACTGGGGGGGAAAAAAAAAAACCAACTCTTGTAACAGATATGCATAGTCAAACAAAACAAAATGTCCTATTGGATACATTCAAAAATGCGTGTCTCATTTGGTAAAATTAATTCTCATGTCTCTGTACGGAAATAGGCAGTATTCTTCGTCACTGGTTATGCCAATTTATTTACATTTTGTCCTCCCCTCAATGTAAGCTCCTTGAGGGCAGGGGTTTTTTTTGGTTTTTTTTTTTAGCCTTTTTCTGTATCTCCTGTACTTTAACACAGGTTTCTAGCACATAATAGTTGCTGAATGATTGGCCATGGCTCAAACAGCCTGATGGCATCTCTTGTAAAAACCAATCTAACACTAAGCATTTATTATATGTCTACTAAGTGCAAAGTAAGGCAGCTAGGTGGCGTCATAGTTCATAGAGCACTGGACTTGGAATCAGGAAGACTCATCCTCATGGGTTCAAATCTGTTCTCAGACACTTTTTAGCTGTGTGATTCTGAGCAAGTCACTTCACCCTGTCTGCCTCAGTTTCCTCACCTGGAAAATGAGCTGGAGAAGGAAATGGCAAACCACTCCAGTATCTTGGCCAAGAAAACCCTCAATGGCCTCACAGGAAGAGTCAAACAAAACTGAAATGACTCAACAATAAAGTACAAAGCACCTTCAACATGTGTTTGCTGTGTGACTCTAAGCAAGTTTCTTAGCCTCACCATGCTATGGACGACAACCGATTGACTGATAAATTGCAGAGAAGGAGCTAATCTGCACTGGTAGAGGGTATTTTTTCATTCAAGGAGCTCCCAATACCAATGAAAATCCAGGGTCCAGTCCCTATCCTTATCTCACTGTAAATAGATTGAATGGCCTCAGAAGATAGTGCATTCCTCCTCCGTGGAGGTCTTCAAGCAAAGGCTGGATAAAACATGACTTCTGAAGTCTTTTGTAGAAGGGATTTTTTTCCCCCAAGTAAGGGCTTGACTAGAAGGCCCCAGGGGTCCCTCTCACCTCTGAGATTCTATGATTAGAAGAAGCAAGGCAGAGTGGACAGGGCATCAGATCTGGAGTCTGAAAGCTCTCCATCCAAATCTCATCTCAGGCACCTACTAGCTATGTTACTTCACTTCTCAAATTTAATTTCCTCATCTGTACAATGGGGAGGTTAGATTCAATGATCACTGAGGTCTCTCCCAGCTCTAAACCTTTTAAGCCCATGATTCTGATCCTAAAATTGCATCCAATTTTCTTTTCCCTCCTTCACATTGTCCTTCAGCATTTTCCCTTCTCCAGGTTCAGTTATCCCTCTTATCCTGAATAGCAAAAGCAGAAACATCTCCCAACAACAGAAATGGTGTATCATCAAAAGGTCTGGCAGCAGTGTAGTCAAGAAACTGTTCGTTGGAGTCCATTTTCTGGCTATACCAAAGCATGGAAAGGTATCTCCCACCCAAGGACAATCCTAATTTAAATAATTCCATCTGAAACAGGAGAGTTCTGACTCTAGCACCAACTCTAAGATCTTTAGCCACTGGCTCATTATTCTAAGGGCACGCCTCCTTTGGAAACGTGCCCTGCCTAAGTTTCCTCACACAAATACGTAGCAGGACTTTTAATATTTGGAGGCCTTGCTGGTGTTCGCTTATCTCAGGACTAATCACTTTGCTATTTACTCTGAAGGAAAAGTCAGGCTAGGTATCTTCAAGGTCACAGTGCCATTGATGGCAAATTTATTTCCCAGGGACTGCAGCAGGTAAGCTTCTCTATGCAAACTGACTTTTAAACAGACCTCTTTATTCACTGGGGAGAGATGTCTATAGTCTTAGCCTTACGTTGACAATGGGGGATTAGCAGGCTTGCTTTGGGATCTCAGTTATATGTGACGTTGTCAAAGAAGAGATCAGTCTCTCCAGACCCTGCTAAAAACCTCAAGGGCATATTAAGAATAAACAGAGAGTGAAGAGAGGACTCATTTATCAATGCTAACACTGAACTTCTCAAGTGCACATATCAATGAATAAATCTAGTCACAGGATTAAGAGCAGGAAGGGACATAGAAATGATCCAGTCCAAGCCTCCCATTTTAGAAATGAGGGATCTGAGGGCCATAGAGGAGAAGACACTTGCTCAAGGTCATCCAGGCCTTCCAATTTCAAGTTCTATGCTGTTTCCACTTTCTACTAGCCTGGGGGAAAGAACACTAGCTCTGAAATCAGGGAATCTGGTTTCATATCTCACCTCTGACACTAACTGCCTGTGTAACCACCCTGACCCTTAGGTTCTCACCTATAAAACGAAAGGTCTGGACCTGACCATCTCTGGAGTCCCTAACAGTTACAGCTCTATGATTCTGTGATTCATCTGATGCCATCATTCTACAGATGAGAAGACTGAGGGCTTCAGGACCCTAAAATCCAACAAACATAGTACTTAGAAGATATGGATTCCGGGCTCTTTCCAACACAACTTGTGGCCTTCATACTGATCCAGGATGACATTCCACTATTCTTAAAGACCAGAGCATTTTCCACTTGCATTTTCCATTATTTTTACATAGTACCCACAAGCATTATAAAAACAGGCCAATCACTCTGACTCCATGGGCCTTAGTTTTTTCATCTGTAAAACAGAAGGAGTGAGGTAAAAGGGGAACGAGATGATCCCCTTCCACCTCTAAATCCTATAGCCCTAATTAAGGTCTACTGAATAAAAGGGAATGGGAACAGTACTAATTTTCCCTGGTCATTGTACACTGGTGGTTGGCTTTGTTTTAATAAATTAGTGATCACCTTCAGTACATTTAGGTGGACTGGTGGGAATGGATTTTTTTTTTTACTAATATAATTAATAAACATCTTCTCCGTGAAAAAATAAGGCATAAACAGCAGAACTAGCTAGAATAAGTAAGGCTTCTATGAAAATAACACATACACTGACAAAACTGCTTTTTTTAAAGCAGTTATTTTAAAGAGGTAAATCTCTCTCTTGTCACATCTATCCAGTACTTAGCAGAGTGGCTGGCATATAGTAGGTACTTAATCAGTGCTTGCTGACCTGACCAGTTACCTCCTTCTTGATGAGGTTCAATGGTGCCACCATGCATTTCATCCTCTAAATGATGATGGTGGTAATAATAATATTTATATAGCACTATAAGTTTTATAAAACCTTACAGATATTATCCCATTTGATCCTCATAACAATCCTGTGAAGCAAGTGCCTTTATTATTCCCAGTTCACAGATGAGAAAACTAAGACAGAAGCCAAGTGATCTGCCCAGAGTTATACAACTAGGCAGTGTCTGAGACAGGATTTGAAATTGTGTCTTCCTAATACTAAGTTCAGCATTCTATCTACTAGGTCATCAAGCTGTAAACCTGGGGATACTCCCAACTTTCTAATGCACCTTCCATGTATCAAAATCCACTGATGGTATCCTGCCTCCAAATATTTCCCAAATTCGTCCATGCCTCTCTATTTCCATAATAATAGTACTGGCCTAGGATCTGAACACTTTAGACTGGGTCTGTGGAAGCCTTCTTACTGAGCAGCCTTTTCCACCCAATAATACACAAAATAACAAGTATTATTCTTCTTTATTGTCTTGGTCTTGTCACTGCTACATAGGGCAGCAGTCGACTCATACAGAAAATGAAGCTCATGATTTTCAAGGATCTCATCCTATTAATTACTCTCTGCTCCCTCCTTTCCAAATGTCTTCTTCTCCATGCTAAGAAATGATAGGAAATGCCTACACCAGTCACATTAATTCTACAAGTCATTTGTGCATACTTCATCTCATACTCTACATGACAGAATACAGCAGACGACACTCCTTTCCTAACACCAAACGATGCTCCCTCCTCACTTCTAAACTCTGCTAGGTCTCTATTTATCCCAAAAATTCTTTTCATATAAGTCCACAGAAAACTGCAATAGGATATTGAAGACAGCTTGAAGCTACCAACTGATTCATCCACTGTCATAGGCTATGGAATCAGGGCCTGAGTTGAGAATCTTATAGATTACATACAGCATATAATCTTATAGATTCATTATATAAACAAAACTGAAGTTGATGATAACAAAAATTATAGTAAGATCCACAGGTGATATAATTTTAATTATTTGTTTTGTTTTAATTGACTTATTCCTTACACCAGTTGGACTTGCTGAAAACAAACCTTATGGACAACCTCAAGTTCATACCATGTGAACTTCTAAAGTGATGCGAACCATATAAAGCCATAACACATTATATCAGACTTGTTTATAATAAATCATTCTACATAACCACAGCAGTTACCCATGGTCCTTCAGCTTTCCCTTGAAGACCTCCGGAGGGAGAACCTGCTCCTACCAAAGCAGCTCATTCCCTTTTAAATAATTTTAATCCTTTAACTGTTTTGTTTTAATTGACGTATTCCTTACATCAAGTCAAAATTTGTCTATTTGTAACTTATACCCACTGTTCCTAGTTCTGCCCTTGGAAGCCAACCAGAAAAAGAAGACTCTCTTTTCCATATCACAATAACTCTTCAAATATATGGAGACATCTCTTATCCAAGCTCCACGTCATCAGCTCCTCCGGTCGTTGCACTGTTGAGCCATTTTTCAGTCATGTCCATCTCTTCATAACCCCATTTGGGGTTTTCTTGGCAGAGACACTGGAGTGGTTTGCCATTTCCTTCTCCAGCTCATTTGACAGATGAGGAAACTGAAGCAAACAAGAGTGAAGTGACATGCCCAGGGTCACACAGCTAATTAGCGTCTGAGGCTGGATTTGAACTCAGGAAGAGGAGTCTTCCTGACTCCAGACCTGGTACCCTATCCTCTGTGCCACCTAGCTGTGCCCCTTCAGTTCCTTCAACCTATCCTCAAATGGCATGAACTTCAGACCCTTTGACTTCTTGGCTGCCCACTTCTACATGCCCTCCAGTTTTGCTGTGCTCTTCCTAAAATAGAGCGTACAACCTGCACACAGTAAGTTGGCTGATTGACCCAAGCCCATCCTATCAATGGCACCGATGCATAGCTAGGAATAATGTCCATCCCCACAAGACTCAATTATAGTCTTTAAAGGAGACACACCTACACACATAGACACAGAGAAGTAAGAATAAAGTAACTATAGTTAACTCTACAGCACTAAGTATGGAGCTATTAATAAAACCTTACAGCTTCCTTTCCTCCCAGGGCTTCCATCCACAGTTTCCTTTCTTCCTCCGAAAATGCCTGCATAGTCAGAGGAATTCCAGGTCTGAAAATTAAGAAGGAAAAAAAGGAACAGAAGCACATTAGTCACTGACAACTAAAAACAGCCATCATCACAGCCCCCACTCTCTCAATTCCTGATACTGTTCACCACGGCCGAGTTGAACCATTTTCCTCTAAACTTAGTCCATCCACAAATGGAAGGAAATTCTGCCTGGTGACACTAGTGATTGGGAAAGGCTGAGGAGTGGGAGGTGAGGAGAATCCTTATTCATCACTTGTGATTTACTTTCCAAATAATGAGACATCTTTTTTGTTTGCTTTATCAAAGGAGAAAAACGAATCTATCTCACAAAGATCTAGACGGCAAAAATCTGCAATGAAAGGACAAGAGAAAATGCCAAATTAAGATGAAAGGTAGTGATTTTCCACTAAACTAAATTGATTTTCCATTGATAAAGATGGTGTTTTAACTAAGTTTTTTTTTTTCTTTCGTTTTGATGGAAGCTGTTTCCCCCAATGCTGAGAAGCAGTTCATTTGTAACATGGCTTCCTGGAGCTCTGAAAGATTTAAGTGATTTACCCGGAATCACTAAGTGAGTATGTGTCAGAGCCAGAACTTGAACTCAGGTCTCGCTAACACCAGGGCAGGCTGTCTATCCATCCTTTCCTGCTGGCTCTTCACAAAGTTCCTATTTATGTAATACTGTTTCATCCCCTTTTCAACTACTGAATAATACCACAATAAAGGAGAATTTTATGAATGGCACTGTGGGTCAATCATGATAGACATTCTCAGAGAGTGATTTTAATCTTGAAAATCACTTCTACTGGGTTTTCAAGATGCTCTATCAATACTCATCCAGCAGGTTGCATATCACAGATTATGATGTTGAAGTATAAAAAGGTTAAGTTATTGGTGCAGGGTTAATTAAGAAACCGCTATTAGGAATCGTTATGTAATTCAGTGATTCCAGACCACACAGCGACATTGGCTTGCAGGTCTACATTTGTCCACGTCAAACACCACTCACCAATAGGGAATGTTTTGCTTTTTGTTTTTTAGGGTTTTTTTGTTTGTTTGTTTTTGCGAGGCAATTGGGGTTAAGTGACTTGTCCAGGGTCACACAGCTAATGTATCATGTGTCTGAGGCCAAATTTGAACTCAGGTCCTCCTGACTCCAGGCTGGTGCTCTATCCACTGTGCCATCTAGCTGCCCCTAGGAAATGTTTTTGCAGTAATAAGACCAGTAGATTTGGAGTCAGGAAAGAACAGGGTTCGAATCCTCTCTCACATTTAATATCTGTGTGGCTGACCACAAGCTAAGACCTTCACCCCTACCTGATTCATCTATAAAATGGGGTGATAAAGCCTTAGTGCCAACCTCACGGGGCTGTTCAGAAGATCCAAATGAGTGAATACAAATAAAGTGCTTTGAAGATGTTATAGATTTTCAGTTGTTATTACTGTTTTAATTTATCTCACTCTTTTAGCCTCACACCTACTTTTTAAAAAATTCTTATATTATTTGGATTCTGTTCAGATCATTATTTTGGCACCATATATCTGAAAATAGAGTTTAGCCACCTCCAACTCCAAGCTCAAAGTGTCCTTTTGGGGTATAGGACAAGGCAAAATATTTAGCTCATCAAACTAGGCTAAAAAGCCCTTGCCTTAGGTTTTAAAATTCTGGCCCTCATTCAGATTAAGCCACACCAGGCTCAGGGGAGTTAATTATAATTACAGGAAAGAACGTTTTTCTTTACATCAATTAACTGAGAACATGAAATTAGACTATTTACATGTGGGGTCTCATGGTGCTGGAGAACGTTACCATACAGCATCTTAGACGGCAAATAAATTAAACTAGAAAGGAAACTCTCCGACAACTTTGTGATTTTTTTTCCCCATATAGTATTGAATCAGACTTAAGAAAAAAGCACAGCAAAATAAAGGATAATGAGAGGGCATTTTAGCCAGATTCTTTGGTGACATCTGATTAGACAAACAGTACAAAATGTGCTGGGCGAATACTACAAAATGTCCACAGGATTTTAAATATAAATTCAATTAAGACAGAGTAGGAGAGGTCCCCAGTGCTTCCCAGTAGTGTGGAAAGAATACTATAGCCACAGTGAGGATGCATTAGGGGGTAGAGGAAATGTGCTCAGTAGCTTCTTCTTTTTAGCTAATTAGTCTTGCTAATTAGGTATATTAAGCCCATTTGTTCCAATGGTACTTAAGGATACCAAGTGTTATCAATGCCCTCTGAATTTCAGCAACCTAGAGCAATACCCTAATTACCCCCACCCTAGTAATGGCTCTTGGCAAAACAAAAATTACAAAAGAAAATTAGGTCTCAGATACATTTTTCTTGTCCAAAGGAACTTTAAAATGAACAAAATATAGCAACTGCAGTCCAGTAACTTGAAACAAATACTAATCATGAGATTGAGCACCAACAGAAAATGATGACAACACACAGAGACCTAGAGACTCTGAATCTCAGGTCAATTCCAAAGATTATTAGAAAAAAAAAAAAGAGGAAAGTGCACTAAAGAAATTTCATATCCCTTTTCTATATCCTGTGAGATTGGTACACTTCCGTGCAGAAATGGTGCAGGTAACATAGAGCTGGTCAAGGTGAAGCCTGGCCTGAAATTCTAATGTTCACAAAGGAGGAATTTCCAGAGGTTAATCGAGGAGAGTTGAAGAAAGAGCATCAGAGTTTCAATGTGGCTTTCTTTAATTTTCAACATTCCTGACTGCCCGCACTTTTTATTCCCACTCTCTGCTCCTGAAGAAGATGTCCATGGTGGTTAGTGGAAGTGTGCTTTTTACATACATAAACGAAGTTCTGAAATAAAAAACAGCCTAACCCAAATGGGAAAAAGAGGTCCAAAACGCCAATGAGGAGAAGAATACCCTAAAAAGCAAAATTGGCCAAATGGAAAAGGAAGTCCAAAATCTTACTGAAGAAAATACTTCTTTAAAAAATTAGAATGGAGAAATTGGAAGCTAGAGCCTATATGAGAAATCAAGGCACTGTAAAACTAATCCAAAAGAATGAAAAAATAGAAGAGTGTGTGAAATATCTCATTGGAAAAACAACTGACCTGGAAAACAGATCCAGGAGAGAGAACTTAAAAAATTATTGGGCTATCTGAAAGTCATGATCAAAAAAAGAGTCTAGACATCATCTTTCAAGAAACGATCAAGGAAAATTACCCTGATATTCTACAAACAGAGGGCAAAATAGAAATTGAAAGAATCCACCGATCACCTCCTAAAAGAGATCCCCAAAGGAAAACTCCTAGGAATATTGTAACCAAATTCCAGAGTTCCGAGGTCAAGGAGAAAATATTGCAGGCAGCCAGAAAGAAACAATTCAAGTATTGTGGAAACACAATCAGGATAACACAAGATTTAGCAGCTTCTACATTAAGGGTCTGGAGGGCATGGAGTATGATATTCTGGAGGGCAAAGGAGACATGACTACAACCAAGAATCACCTACCCAGCGAAATTGAGTATAATCCTTCAGGGTAAAAAATGGTCATTCAATGAAATAGGGGACTTTCAAGCATTCCTGAGGAAAAGACCAGAGCTGAATAGAAAATCTGACTTTCAAATACAAGACTCAAATGAAACATGGAAGAGGTAAACAGGAAAGAGAAATCATAAGAGACTTACTAAGGTTGAACTGTTTACATTCCTGCATGGAAAGATGATATTTATAACTCACAAGTCCTTTGTCAGTATTAGGGTAGTGGGAGGGAAGATAGATAGATAGATAGATAGATAGATAGATAGATAGATAGATTGATTGATTGATTAGATAGATAGAGGGCACAGGGTGAGTTGAAGATGAAGGGGTGATATCTGGAAAATAAAATTAAGGGGTGAGAGAGGATTATACTGGGAGAAGGAGAAAAGGAGAAGTAGAATGAGGTAAATTATCTCACATGAAACAGACAAGAAAAGGCTTTTACAGTGGAGGGGAAATGGGGGAAGGTGAGAGGGAATGAGTGAATCTTATTTTCATAGGATTTGGCTTAAGGAGGGAATAACATTCACAATGGGGTATGGAAATCTATCTTACCCTACAGGAAAATAAGGTGGCAAGGAGATGGGGTATGGAAATCTATCTTACCCTACAGGAAAATAAGGTGGCAAGGAGATGAGGGTGATAAGAGGGGAGGGCAGATTGGGGGAGGGGATAATCAAAAGCAAACACTTCTGAGGAGGGACAGGGTCAAAAGAGAGAATAGAATAAATGGGGGTTAGGATAGGACGAAGGGAAATATACTTAGTTTTTCACAACATGACTACTATGGAAGTGTTCTGCATGACTACACATCTATAACCTGTATCAAGATGCTTGCCTTTTCAATGAGGGTAGGTGGGGAGGGAGGAAGGGAGAAAATTTGTAACCCAAAGTTTTAAAAACACATGTTAAAAAAAGAAGAGAAAAGAAAAGAAAAGAAAAAAAGTGTAAAGGATCTGGGACTCTAATCAGCCTTCTTACCATTCTCAGCCCACAGTTTAAGTGCTGAAGGGGTCAAGAATGGAAAAAATTTAAGAAGCCTTGCTCTAAATACTAATTCTCCCTGGGGTGGGGGGAAAGGGGACATGGGGATGGGGAGGGAGGAACTACAGCAAATAACTGATGCTTTAGGTGAAGCTACCACCATATTTGGCCGCAGTCAAATATGAAACTAAGAAACTGAATGACGATGATGACGATGACGATGATGATATATCATCTGTACTCAAATGAAAACCAATGACACAATATGAGCTGATGAAATAAAAGAAATCATACAAGTGAATACACAGGACATCAATTATGGGAAGAATAAATCTAAATGTTCACTTTTTAATTTAGATCACCTTCTCCAAAATCTCCCATTGATATGCCTCCTTGTAGCATGGAGGTGACCCTGCATTCTCAAAGGTCAGACCAATGACTTGTAAGCTCTAGAAGGACCTGCATTGAGCCAGAAATGATCTAAGTATGGGCATGGTATTTAACTGTATGTCTAC